TTCATCTTGCTACTCCCACCACCGTCTGCCTCCTACTATCCTACCGACATCCACCTACTACTGTCGACAACAGGTGACCCAAAGGTAACCATTTGGTAATGGGGTGAGCAAGACCAACGAATTTTTCTCTTTAGTTTTGGATCTTGAAAAACATGGTGGAGATACAAATCTGATTTCCAACTCCGACGTCCCTTCCCGGCCCCATACCTCGACCCAAACCATCACGGTATGTCAATCTGGCCTCGTGTCTCTCTCTCTCTCTCTCTCTCTCTCTCTCTCTCTCTCCAGCACAGATCTATGAACCTAAAATGGTCTTCTCACCATCTTTAACTATCTTTATCCCTCTCTTTTTCCTCTCTTATTTAATCAAATCAACATTGATAAAGAACTTCCAGCAACGACAACTGATCATAAATTGGACGAGGAAAGCATGTTCTTTCGATGAGCAGGATCTCCGACGAAATATTCGAAGTAGATCTAGACGCTTGTGAACAGATTTTGCGTCGGTTTCTCCAACACCGAACTCTTATATTACAGGATTAATTGATTAGGGTTTAAAAGGTTCTGATTTTTGAGTATCACAATATATATTCATCAACCATATTTGGTATCATAGTTGTATCACAGTAGTATTTATCAACCAGATTTGGTATCACAGTGGTATCACAGTGTGTTTTTGTTGTTTTATAAAGTGCATCATAATTATTTTGTTGTTAAAGTGTAACATAATGTACCAGGATAGTGTTGTTTTATTAAGTGTATCACATCGTATTTTTTTCGTTAATTTATGAAGGGTATCACAGTGTGCATCATTTCTTTGTCGGAATAAGGTTCGTCGGAGAGATGAATAAGGTTCGTCGGAGAGATGAATAAGGTTCGCCGGAGAGAGGAGAGTGTAACACAATGTATCAGGGTAGTGTTGTTTTATTAAGTGTATCACATCGTATTTTTTCGTTAATTTATGAAGGGTATCACAGTGTGCATCATTTCTTTACCGGAATAAGGTTCGTCGGAGAGATGAATAAGGTTTGCCGGAGAGAGGAGAGTGGAGAGAGAAGATTTTAAAAATACCTAAAATGCCCTTTAATTGAATTTTTAAGTCAAATTACCAAAATTATCAGTTTCCTAATTTATCCATTGATTCGTGGTTGAGATTGGTTCTCACAGTTACCACAAACAACTCAGTTCTCCCTTGAATGACCCCCTATATATATATATATATATATATATACAAACAACACACATACATACATACATACTTATTTTCTTGAATTTTATGTGTTATATTTTTATATTTAGGTATTGTGTATATATATATATATATATATATATATATATATATGCATGTGTTATAAGTATATATACCCGTTAGCCCGTGTTATATACATATATGTTTACACGACGTTGTATGTGTTATATGTATATATACCTGTCGGTCAATTATATATACACATATATATATATATACATGTGTACTAGTTGCTAAACACGATTGGATGAATGAATATATGTTTAAACGTATGTGTATA